TTTTGAGAGAAACTTGATTAAGCGTTAGGTCGGGTTGTGAAATATAGAATAGCGTAATTATGTACAGTAGGATTGTAAACTGTTCGCAAACTTTGCAGCCGTAAAATTCATTTTAAATTGCGGCAATATAAATATTGTTGCACGGCAATCTCGGCTATATTGCTGTTTTTTTTCTCTCTCTTTTATATCAAAAAATATTAATATCTTCTATCTATATGATATACATATATACATACATAATACACACACACACACACACACACACACACACACACACACATATATATAACACATATATATAAAATACCCATGATATTTATAAACCATGTATATTAAAGTTTCACGTTTTTATCGTAATAATAATAATAATAGTAATAATGATAGAAGAAGCTTATTTTATTAACAGCTATATTATTTCATAATAAGTGTACTTATAATATGTATTATATCTTGTTTATAATTCAAGCTTCGTATTTTCTATAGTTCGAGAAAATCATAAATTTCTGAAATACATTGTTATGAAACAAATAATATTCATTAAACGAAATTCCCGCGCAATTCCACAAAATGTATTCGACTGGAACGTGAAACACGTATACCACAGACATAGTTTTTCTACTGGGTACTATATTTATGCATACGGTGAAATGATAAATCGCCGCAAGGCTACCCCTCGACGAATGTTCGACAATTGACGTAACTTTGCACAACAAAATTTCGATTATTGTGGCTTTATCGGTTGAAAAAAATCACACTGCGCTTTACATGGGAGATTTAACGAAACGTTTTGTGGCAGCCAATTCATTTTAGTTGGTTCCATTTATTCGATATAAATATACCATCCATATAAATATACCATCCATTTGTCTCATTTGATCATGCATACATGTTGTACGTAATGTACAATTCTGCATAATTGTTATGAATTACAATGCAGCCGTTATATGTATCTTATTAGCAACATTTGTGAAAAAAACAAGTTTAATTAATTTGATCAATTAATGTTAAAAAATTTTATTAATTCAAAAATTCTATGTATACATGTTTTTAAAAAATATTAAAAAAATTTAAAGGAAAATTTTCCAGGTTAAAACAAGAAAAAGTTTTTTTTTAATGTATCCACAAAAATGCTTTGTTCTAAAAATAAACATGTATCAAAAATGCTTTGTTCAAAGAGTGTTAAAAAAAATTAAAAATAACGTTCTTTCCAAGTATCTCTTTATAGTAGGTAATTTTTATTCTTTTTATTATATCATATAGATAGTAGGTAATATTTATAGTAGGCAATTTTTTTATTATGCAATAATCTATCTGCAATGATCTAACAATAAGCAATTATTTAGTAGAAATTTGATTTCTTCAAAACCGAATTTTATCTAAAAATTGAAATATTTAAAAAGAAATAATGTATGTTTCTAGCGATTTTAGACCAGAGTATCTCCTTTGTTTAAAAGTGTAAAAATTATTCTGATAAGGATAAATTAAATATAATTTATTTTCACTATTTTTGTCGAAATAAAATAGAGAACGATTTTGTTAATAATGTACTGTATTGTCTTTTATAATAAGTTTACGATGGAGCATACATCTTACTCCTCGTGTTTCTCTCCTTAATTTCATACTGAGTGATGAATGGAGACCTAAATAGAACTAAGGGAAAGTGTCCGTAGTTCAGGAAAGTTCTGGGACCCTCGAAGGACAAAGAACGTACGTTATAAGCGATGGCTGAAACTAACAACCGTGCAAATATCCTATTAAATCAATTATAGCCCGCATTCAATCATGCTTATTGCGAATAAAATTCTGTAATAATAACAAATAAATAAAAATCCTTGCTCTAGTAAATCATATTTGTTTCGATTATTTCGAGAAATAGCATTCATTCAGAACTATCGTGAACAATAAATGTAAACATTTGAAATATTAGCAAATTGTACCATCGAATATACACATATTATATGGTAAGTTATTATGACTATTAACAAAATTTCATAATTTCTATTAAATGATTCTGAGAGTATATCTAAAGCTCCTTATAAAAATATATAAATAAATATATATATATATATATATATATATATATATAATAAAGACATGTATATTAGTATAAATAACACTATTATTTATCCTATATTAGATCACTATTAATTTATTCTACATTTTATTGCATTTATGCATTGTTTGTGAGATGACATAATGGCCAAATGTCAAATGTCACTGAGATTATCTGTTTTGACAAGTATAATAGTGTAATATTCTTAAAAGAGTTAACAGGTCAGAGAAAAAATTTCATGCGTGTGAATAAAATGTTGAATAAGCGCGAAGATCGATCTAATCAGAGATATTCTCACGTTTTAGGCCCCGGGTCACGCCTCACGGGAAGGAAGCCTTTGGTATTGAGATTTGGAAGGGTTCCGAGATTGCCTCTTGAAGAGCAGTCGAAAATCGTTTTATAGACAGACTATGATATATAGCGCACTCATTTTTAAATCTTATATTATTGATTTATTTGTTGATTATTATTTTATAGGCTTAAAACAAAGTCAATTTTATTTTATATATTTATTATATATTTATATATTTATCGCATATATTTTGTGAAATTTGAAACTGAGAATTCTTGACTAGCTTGAAATAATATATATCAGTTAATGATTTATAGTAAATAATTGAATAATTAATAATAATTGTATCTTTTTTATATTACAATTATTCTTAAAAGTAATACATTGTTATAGAGCTTGAAGTGCAAAAAATGAATCAATTTAAATTTAATGAAAAAAAATACTCTAACAGCAGTTTCTGTGAACAGAATATCGAAATTTTTTTTTATCCGCAATTTAGATGATCTGAAGATTTAAATTGATGTTATTGATACCCACTTATTATAGTCTTCAACTGCAATGTATCAATCAGGTGCTCTACTATTAAACTGTAATCTGAACTTGATCAATCATCCACGTTGCAAGTTAAGCTCAGGAAATGAACTTGCCAGATCGTAGGTTTTATAAGAAAGAAATGCCTCTAGGGATCCATCAGATATTCTCCGCTCCGATTTAAATTCTCGTTTATCGATTACTGAAATATGTTTAAATGGAAAAATAAAGGAGTTCGCACAAATTCGCGATACATCCCGATTTCTGAACTTGTCTATTGCAAGTTATATTATAAATTTGTTAATTAAACAGTACGTCAAATAATGAATTATCTTTAGCATAAATTTTTTTACTCATGCCTGTAACAATGAAATAAACTATACGATAGTAGCGAAGTTGAAAAATGATGCAGTGTATAAACTAAACATTGAAAGTAAATATTCTTTTTTAACTTTCTTTTTAAAACTTTAAAATTATTTGCAAAAATCTTGTTTTCTGAATAGTAATGTAATCAGTTGATTTTAGGATATACATTCTTACGTAAGAAAACAGTTTTTTAATATATAAATGTATAATATATAATCTGCGTGTATATGTGTGCGTATGTGTATTTATATATAATTATGTTAAAGAAAATGAGCAATTGTGCTATTTCATAAAACTTTTAGGTGCTTATAAATTTTTTTGATTAAAAACAAATTAATATTATAAGTGGAGTATGTGTCAACAAGTTTGCAAAACGTGTGGTAAGTGAGATCAAGTGGAATCAAGATGCGGATTAATCAAATTTTAGATCAACTCCACGAGCGAAAGGCACGTACGCCACTCACGTTTCGAAGCGTTTTAGAGAAAATCGCTTGTGTTTCATAAATCCTGCTATGCTGGAGCACTCGGCTCAGCAGAGTACGTCACACAAGGGTTCTTCGAGAAAAGCTGAAGATTTTAGGGGAGCGTGAGAGTCGTGCGAATTTCGTTTGTCGGCTCGTTGAGCCTTATAAAAGGTCGATATGATCTTTTGTTTATATATTTCTACAAAATCATAATCATTACTAAATCAATTATAAAAGAACGTGCATGCAATATTGTTATTATTTACGTAGTAAGGAAGTTTGTAATAAATTTATAAAAAATTTTTCTTTTATTTGATTTCTTTAACTTTGATAAATTTGATTCGTCAAAAGTATTTGTGTAATTTAATTTCAAATTATAACAATAATAAATAATTATGTTTTACATTTAATTATTCGCGTGTACCGAATAGCAAGATGTATTTATCAAATATATTTATCAAAAACAACTCATCCATAACTGTATTTACTTATTTATTTCAAGCATTTTTGTATTTTATATACAATATATATAATTATAAAAATATGAATTTAGATACACAAAGTTCATATTAAGAACCGGCACAAAATATATTTTATTACTACATTATGTATTATTACTGCAAATACAAATTCTTACTGTTATGAGTTACAGAAAAAGACTAATCTTTCGACTTTAATCTTGCCATTTGTTTGATATTTATCTTGTACATATAATTATTGTACAACTATTATTTTGATATTTAAAGATAAAAGAATTTAGCATTCGCTGGTACGATGCAGAAGTTATAGTATGCAGCACATGTAATTTATAACTTACAAATATATCCAAATTATACGCATATTGAATAGTGTCTAAAATAATTAATATTTTAAAAAATAATATTGCGCGAATAGAATTTTCTATATGTTCTATGTGAGCAGATATTTAACAAAACAATTACATTATATTTAAAAAATACTTATTTTGTATTAATTTTTTTCTGAGATATGATAAATAAAAATTTAATTTGTATGTAACCAATTTAAATGTTCATAAATATATATATATATACATATATATATATATATATATATATATATAAAAGCAATATTTAAATATTTTATATATGTATCTTTAAAAAATATTAATTACTGAAAATATTTTATTAAGTGCTTTAAATAATTTAAAATGAAATTTTAAATATTTTATATATGTGCACACACATACTTTACATAGTAATATGAAATGGATTATTACCATGGAGACATGCTTAATTTTACATCTAACAAATAAAAAATGTTATAAATTACTCACTCTAGGTTGTTTCGTCGTCGTCCAAAACTGCTCCGAGTCTTCTTTTCTCCCCTTTTGCTGTTTCTTCGTTGCACTAACACTATATTTATACGACATTTACGAAAATTGCACGATTAATTACGATCACGCATATATTTATTGATAGAATATAACGATCGCGCGATATTTTGTACGGCACTCCCGACACTCCCGACAATCGCGAGAGAGGAGGCAGGGAGAAAGGGAGAGAGAAAAGAGAGGGAAATAAATATGAAAAGAGAGAGAGACAGAGAGAGAGAGGGACGCGCACTTTATTATATAAGAATAAAAGAGCAATTAAATCACGACGCTCTCGACAAAAATCATGCGACCAAATTTATTCGCTATTATCTCTGTTGTTAACAAATACGCCCGTATTTTATTGTCGGAGTAATTTTGCGTTGCAAGTGAATAAATATACAAGTGAAAATTAAAGCTGCATATCTACGGACAATATTCGGAAATACGTAGTTAGATTTGTCAATCATTCACATGACAAACTTGGATTGAATAAATGTCACGAGATGCGCGCCTAGACAAATTACAACGATGTATATGTAAACGCCGAATTTATATATGATGCAAATTAATCAAGAAAGATTGGTAAAGTAAATTAAAATACCGGATTAACGACAGCCTCACTTTATTAAATTCCAATCAAATTACACGCCGATTTTAACATTCGATTGGGAATCTATCGATATTGCATCCTGTACAATGTTTCATTAATTGAAAAATGTAAAAATATATATGCATATGACAGTGACTTTACTTCGATACTACGCAATACTACACGAATCGAGTTAAGATACAAAAGATTGTTAAGAAGTAAATAATCGAAATCTAATATTGCAAGTACGGTAAATTTTGAATGCATAAAAATATCGCAAAATATATGTGCTATTAATAAACAATCGATATATCATGCTTTTTCATTACTCGAATGAAACTACGTCACGATTCCGTTTTACGTCTCGTTATTTTTTATCGTGAAAGTAATCAATTTCGTGTACTGATAATCATAATTGTAATAATTATGAAAAGGAAAGGAGAAGGAGATCGCGTTTTATGAAGAATAATACAAGTGAAATTCGCAGCGTGCCTACCGGCTCGAGTGTCGCCGCACGAATGACAAGGTTACGAGCGACACGTAAATAACTGCGCGCTACCTGTCGAAAGACGAAACAGTGCCACGAATATACGTGTATATGATAGTTAATAAATCGTCGATGGCAAATTTCTTGCCATCACAAAACATTACAGTGCAAAATAAATGTATGCAGAATATCCTTCTCTCAATCTCAATCAATAAGTTTAATTAATTATGATTTTTTAATTACTTTAGCCATTCAATCTCAAAATTTGTATATCATGATGCATTTTTGGTCGATAAAATCATGAAAAAATTACGAAGAATTGAAAGCGCCAAATATATTTGAATTATATTTATTTTCGCAATGAAATAATGATTAATAGTTCCCGGTCAATTTTTATTTCAAATAAACGTATCGCGAAAAATACTTATTCTGATAAATAATCGTCGTTTCGGCACGCGTTTATAAATTGTCCATTGTTAATTGATTGTAAAAGGAAATAATATATATATATATATATATATATATATATATATATATATATATATATATATATCCTGTTGCCTCGGCTTAGGTTATAGGTTATCAATCACAAGTACCTCACGGTATCTCTCTCGCGATTGTTTGATAGATAATATTCCATTAATAACGACACTTACGAAATATCTCGCATCTTTCCACTCGAGTGACGCCGCGCGAATGACGTAGTAACTCAGGAATTTCGTTTTTTTGTTCGACGCGCGAAGTATACGTGTCCGGTAACACGATAACGTATCACCTCGTCACTCGCGCGGCGACCTTCAAGCAGTTAAGATGTGAGGCTTGATCTCACATTCGTCTTCCGACAAATTTTTACATATTGATTGCAAGCATATTGATTGGCCATTGGATAGTAATTTTTTGAACTTTAGAAACTTTTTATCCCGCAGCCAATCAACGTGCTTAAAAAATTTGTCGTACGACAAATGTAATACTAGCCTGACCAGAGTTTGTAAACTCCTTTATTAAAATTTGTTAGCGCCATCTAAAAGTTTGTCTTCAGATAATGTGAACTATCTTTCGAAAAAATCAACATGGTGGATCAAAGTACGATAGATCAAATACGTATAGATCAAATTCCAATAAATAATTAAATAGTTAAACGGTTAATTGACACTAGAATTGACAATATATTGTAACACATGTCTTCCAGCGTATTTGATCTATCGATTTTGATTCACCAAGTTGATTTTCAGAAGATAATTTATATTATTCGAAGGACTTGCAGATGGCGTTATTAACGCCGGTATAAATTTCAATAAAGGAGTTTATAAATCCTGAGTTTGCCGCGTTTCGTGTGTCGTGTTAGCTATCGAATTACGATCGTGAAAAAATAGTGTGCTATTCCTAAACGCGATATTATTCTCTTACGAACGATTAGTCAATTGAAAATTCATAGACGTGCTATAATTATTAGTGATTATTTTCTCGCGTAGTGAACTCTTGTGATTGATAACTCGTGATCGACCTAAACCGAGGCAACAATTTATCAAACCAGGTAATTCTTTTGATATATATTAATTTGAAGAAACGAAATGAGAGACGAAGGATAGAAACACTATAAATCGTTGTTTGCAATATTTAGGAGAAATAATGAGTTCTTTAAATATATTTGATATACTTCAAATATATGTTGTCTCTCGTGCTCTGAATTTTTGGCCATTTTCTAATTATTTTCGAATCGATAAAACATTATTAAACATGATGAATTCATGAATCGAGTGATTACGGAAACAAAAAACGATATATCAACGATTTATTAATGATTAAATTTGAGTTGAAGGAATGAAATTCTGCATATATTTATTTTGTATTGTATAAAATATTTTGTCAGGACGACGTAATTAACTATCATACATTCGGAATTCGTTTCTTGTAGCGTACTATTGTACGCAGTTATTTTATTGTCATTCGTGCAGCGAAAGATGATGAACAACGATGCGAACCATTTTGCATATTGTTTTATTATCCTTCGAAATACGGTGATTTTCTATAATTATTACAAATTAATAATTAATACGCACAATTGATTAATTCTCGTGTAAATGAAATAAAAGAAAATATAAGAATATTTTGCGGAATAAATTGCGACAACGGCTATTTCTTTATTCAAGTAACGAAAAAAGATATATCGATTGTTTATTAATAATATGTATTTTGCAAGAGTTTTGCATACGAAATTTACTATACTTGCAATATTAAATTCTAATTATTTCTGATAGTTTAGCGCATGTTAAAACTCATTATTAATTTGATTCGTATAATATTGCGTAGTGTCGGAGTGAAACTGTTGTGTCTCATATATATATATATTTCATATTTTTTTAATTAATGAAGTGCATTGTACAGAACGGATTGATTTCGAATCAAACTATATTAAAATTGACATTTAATTGATAAATATGATAGATATTAATCTCATCTCATTATTATTTTAATATTTCTCAATAATATACTACATAAATTCGGTATTTACATAATTATCAATTGTAATCTAGCTATTTCTCGCGAAACTTAATCAATCGAAATCTGTTTTTAGGAATAATTGATAAATGTAACTATATCATAACAAATATATATTTCCAAATATTGTCCAGTTGAAAATATGGATATATAAATATATATCCATATTTTCAACTTTAATTTTTTATTTATTTACTCGTGTTACAACGCAAAAGATGCCCTAACGTTAACAAATAAAATGCGAACGTTTCCGTTACTAACAGAGATAAAATTACTATAGCGAATAAACTTGGTCACGTGTTTCTCAATGTCTAGCGGATCGTAATTGCTCTTTTTATTATTATATAGGATGATTGAAAACGAGTGTATAAACTTTGATAGATTATTTGGAAGGTCATTCTCTAAATAAAAAATGGCATATGAATATAAAATATCTTGTTCTTTATGCACACGCAGTTACAGAAGTTGTAAAATTTTGTTGTTATCATAATAAAATCAAAACAATAATTTGTAAACGATCGATGTATCGTATTTTTTTGTCTCATTTTGACTTCTCAAAAGTTATCTCTTATCAACCATATGATTTTACTATGATAGCAACAAAATTTTAAAACTTTTGGAACTACATAAATATGAAGAATAAAATAGTTATATTTATATAATATTTTTTACTTAGATTAATCTTTCTCCAATTTGCTAAAGTTTGTTACATTCGTTTTGAATTACTTTGTAAAGTGCGTGCCCCTCTCTCTTTCTCTCTCTCTCTTTCTCTTCGCATATGATTAATGTTGAAAGTGCTGTAAAGTGTCGTGCGATCATTACATTCTATTAATTAGTATACTCGTGATCACATAATTGACTGTGCAAATTTCGTGAGTATAGTATAAAATATTGTCTAAGTGCCAAGAAGAAACAGTAAAATATAAACAAAAAGAGAAGAAAGAGGCCTCGGAAAGTTTCGAGCGATTGCGAAACAATAAAAAATGAGTAATTTATAATATTTTTAATTTATTATTTGTAATAGTTTTAAATGTAAAACTAATTGCAAATAGGTAGTAATCCATTTTATATTACTCTGGTAATATAATATATGTGTGTGTGCACATATATAAAATATTTAAAATATTATTTTAAATTAGTTAAATCATTTTTAATAAAAAATTGTGTAATTAAAGTATTTTTTCGTAGTTGTACATAAAATATTTAAATTGCTTATATTTATGTATGATTTATAATATTTAAATTAGTTATATACAGATTAAATTTATATTTATCATATTTTTTTTATATATGAAAGTTTATATCCAGAAAAATTTGTCAAAAATATGTAATTGTTTTATTAAATATTTATTTAAAGAACAAAAAAATATTTTAATACGTGCAATAATTACTTAAAATATTAATTATTTGGGACACTATTTTATATAAAACTTGGATATATTTATGTGTTACAGATTTTACTACGTGTTGTGTACTCCGCTATTGCGCATCATACTGGTGAGTGTTAAATTAATTTTTATTTTATAAATTCGCAAGAAATAATAGGTTTTTAATAATTATACACACACACACCTATCCATACACACACACACACACACACACACACACACACACACACACACACACACACACACACACACACACACACATACATATATATATATATATATATATATATATATATATATATATATATATATGTGTGTGTGTGTGTGTGTGTATATATATGTATATAAGAAAAAAAAAGAGAAATATTAAAAATTTTTCTTTAATTGTATAGTTTTATTTAAATGCGCTTCTCTCTTTTTTATAATTTAATCGCATATATGTAGATCATGATTAACAGCTATAAAGTTTGTTGCTCTTACAAGTCGGATATATTCGATTTGTGTATAAATTTCCAGGTCAAGCATTGCAGATTTTGTATATATTAGTCTGTCTTTTATGTCTGTCATGTGAAAATCAATATCCCTATCAACCCTTTAGCTGTCATCAAAGACATGGCAAAGATCATATTTCAAAAACGAAAAGATATTGTCATATCAACCTATTTTCTCGTAATTCAGAATAGTAGCACGATAATTGTTTAAAAGCAGCCAAAATTAAGAAATATAATGATATTATTATAGTTACGATATGCGCGAGAACAACTCGACCTATATATCATAATCATATAATTAAAATTCTCAAATTTGGTCGGTAAGATAGGCGACGAAGCACATTAAGTAAAATGATGATATGGAGTCTAGTTAGTCTAGCATCGTGAAATGTCTAAGAGCATTTTGTGAAATGCCGTGATACAGCTAACGTGGCAATTATAAATAACTGATGTTGCAGCCTTAATCATATGATTAATCATATAGTCGCAAGTACAAAATGGTTAGGATAATATAATGATGTAAATTTATAAACTTTGATGCTTTTATATTTATTTTCTTTCGTTAATATATATATATATATATATATATATATATATATATATATACCATATATCAACAAAAAATTTTGCATATATTTAAATATTCTTAACACTTAGCGACGAAAAGAAACATATCTTTTTTTCGTACCTAATTTTGTAATTTAATTATTGTGTACGTCTAAAAATTTAAAAGTTTTACATAAATTGATATATGAAAATATTTATAATATTAATTTTTCGAAACAATTAAATGAGACATCATTTATTTGCATCTTTATAAATGTAACAAAATATTGATTCTTTAAAACATTTATGGAAGAATAGCTGCAAAATGCATTTTCAGTTTTCAATATTTTTACTTTGGAAAAATTTTTCTCTAATAACATAAGTCAATTTTACAATAAATTTCAATCCAGATTGCTCCTTTAGGCCGAGTAATTAAATCGTAGAAAATTTCGTAGAGTACTATTAGAGGTTAAAGGGACTTGTTCGGGGTGGCAGTGCCATAGTTAATGCGCGGTCCCGCTTCCCAAAACGATGTCCCACAGGAATCGATACGCGGTCGTAGCACCCTATGACCATCATCAAAGGCATCGCATTTCGGATGGCAAAGGGGAAACCGCTGTAACCAGTAGTACGGCTGGAGGGGACAATTCGCCGTCAGATACGTTCATTGTTTTCTCGTACACTAGTGTTAAAAATAGCACGTAATTGTTCCTGTGTGAATTCTCTTATTTTGTGAGAGAACGAGATAAGATTAAAAAGAAGAAGAAAAAGAGAAAGAAAGAGAGAGAAAGAGAGACACGATGCCTTCTATATCTCGAGCCGCCGACTTGTACACCTGTTGATGGACGT